CGCCAAAGAGTAGAAGGTAATTGATCAAGTCTGGTTGCTAGTAACTCGATGGAACAGGATGGGAAGATCTGAAATCGAGAGAGCGCGCACCAGCCACCGACTCATTTTGCGCGCATTTTCCGTAAGGCTGCGTTCATACATTGCGTAGCGATTACTGAGCGTGTGGGCGAGGAGAAAAATATCCGATCTAGTACATTGGAAAAAACCGCAGCGTTTAGATCATTTGGGAGTTATAGCGTTCTGGGCGATTAGAAAAGTATAGGTATCGAACTAAGTTCTGGGAGAAATGCCACGTTTAGGTCGAAAAGTTAGTAAAGCCGTTGACTGGCACCCAAAATGCCGATTCTCCCAAATGCTCAAAATGTCGACGCAAAGTATGAACGCAGCCTAATCGTCAAACAGCCGATTCTCCATTTCTTCCCATGACAGAGTGTGAACGCATACTGCTTTACTCATCTATCAAGAGAGGAATTTCTATGGAGCGCTATGGTCTTGAAAGTACTTTGTTTTGAAACAGCTCACCTCACGCTCTTCGGCACGCTTCGCCATCACAGCATAAGCATCAGGAGGAGCAGAACTCGTGATTGCTGGCGAACCATTCTTCAGAATACCGGCTTTATGCCATGCAATAGAAGGTAAAGTAGATCCCAGTATAGAAGTGTGATCAATATCCAATGTGGAGATACCACAGACGACAGGATGTCTTGAAATAACCGAATGCAAAAACTTCCAATATCCAAAAGATAACAGCAAAAGTATTATGTGCTATCAAGCAGGTGGTCGCACGAACGTCTCATAACGGTACAGTCTTGTTCGCAGCGGATGTAGGGGCGTGTCATGGGTATGGGTTTGCCCCGCCTGCCACTCGCAGTCATCCGCAGCGAATCAGTGGGTCATTTGGTATTGTTACGACTGAAGTCAATACGATAAAGATGCAAGGAGATACATTGAAAACGGAAGAAAGCAGGGGCTATTGCAGCTGGAGGGGCCACGCGGTCATACCAAGCCGCGACCACTCTGGTCGTGCGCGATTTCCTAAGGCTGGTCTGAGGAGACGAAAAAAAAGACACAGTCGCGGCGGTAGTAGTCACTTTGCACTCGGATCTCGACCCCCCCCCCCATCCTACCCCAACCACCGTCAGCGCCGGAACGCGAAGAGAAGAGGAAACGAGAGAAGGAAAACTGACGGGATGATATTCGTGCAGTCATACTCTCCACCAATTCCGACTTCTACGATGGCCACGTCGACACATTCTTCAAGAAATACGTGAAAGGATAGAAGTGTGAGAAACTTAAAGTATGGTGGCATTCCATCTGTTGCTTCACTCTGAAAATAAGCCCTTCTTGAGATGGAACCAACAAAATTCTAGCGATAAGGTGTAACTGACCTCCTTAAGTTTATTATAAATTGTGAAGAAATGCTTTGCAAACATAGTCTCACTAATAGACTTTCCATTGATACGAATCCTTTCTCGGGCATGGACCAAATGAGGTGACCTAAAAGCACGCAGCTCTGAAGTATGTGGTCGGAGGCACGTAAACTGGAAACGACAATCGATCCATGAAAACGTTCAAGGCTTAAACCTTCAAGTTAGCGAAAGACAATGGTTCTGTGCTACAGCTGGATTTGCTAAATAGATGCTGTGAACATTTTAAGGTTAACCTCAGTAATTAGTTTTGCCAGTCAAGGTTAGAACGGCGCAGTTTGTCGACGGGGGGCATTTTGCTTTCCATAGATGTGTCGACCCATCTAGGCAGCCGTTTCTCGAGTTGACACGTTTTAGGATAGTGGCTAGACGATCTTACTTCAGCTTCACAAGAGTTCACAAGTTTTACCAGAGTGAGATTTGTAAACCGGAACTAGGGAAGCAATGATAATACAAAATGCCCCCCGTCGACAAACAGCGCCGGTTAGAACTGTTACTGATCATGTAGGGAACTTGCAACCCACCCCAAATTACTTGACTGATCGATGCGACTCGACATCGTAGCATCGACTAACACAATATAGGGGACTTTATTATAGGAAAGTCTGAGGGCAGACCATGGCATGAACATTAAGCTGAGAGGGTAGAGAAGCGGCCCAGGAGGTGTAAGGGTAGCGCGCTCGCTCGGAAGCGCGAGGTGAGGGTTCGAGTCCCAGATGGGCTGGCAACTGAGCATTCTAGTGGTAATAATATGTGAGCCCTCAATCGCCATGGAAAGCAACAAC